CTGTTGAAACTGATCAGTTTCAGCAGCGGCTGAATCTGGACGCCAGTTCCGACTTACATACAGATTCAACTTAAGAACAAACCTACAGTCCCTATCTTGTATGTAACCCAGGGACTGCCTGTAGTGAAGTTTCAAGTTATATACTAAAAAAACATTTCTAACTATTAGGGTAATTAAGTCCTATCATAGGTTTCAAGGGAGCTCATGGAATGTCCAGTTTCAGCAGCGGCTGAATCTGGACGCCAGTTCCGACTTACATACAGATTCAACTTAAGAACAAACCTACAGTCCCTATCTTGTATGTAACCCAGGGACTGCCTGTAGTGAAGTTTCAAGTTATATACTAAAAAAACATTTCTAACTATTAGGGTAATTAAGTCCTATCATAGGTTTCAAGGGAGCTCATGGAATGTCCATCCTTGAAGGCTTTTTAGAACAGGTTGGACAAACACCTGTAGGAATGGTTTAGCTTTACTTGGGGCCTCACCACAGTGCCTGGACTTGATGAATTCTTGAGGCCCTTTTTAGCTCTGCATTTCTATGATTCTATATCTAAAATTCATCTTTGACTAAATTAATGAACTCTTATTAAGTTCTCAATAATTTGTGTTTTATTGCTGCTAAGAAGCACAGCTACATTCCTATTGTAAATGCCACCATATTTTAATGATCTTGGCAAGAAAAGGCACACCGATACAGACTGAAGAATGGCCAACTCATTGCCTGGCAGACAGAATTTTCTATTCTATTTTTCTATTCTATTCTATTTTCTTTTCTAGCAGATAAGAACATGGATTGTTAAACTCTCTGATATAATAAAAGTAATATAATTTCAACAGAAAGCAAGAAAAGCTAAGGAGAAATACTGTAGATAAAAAAAGGATTTCCCTATTGCAGATGGGAATCTGTATGCATAAGAGAAGTCTCGAATTCTATCCAATATTCCTGAAGTTTTTAGCAGACATTTCCCTTTCATGCCAATGTGTTCCAAAGCTTCAGAGGGGTAGCCGCGTTAATCTGTAACTGGAAAAAACTTAAGCAACGAATAGTCTAGCAGACCTTAAAGACTAATAAAACATGTAGATGGTATCATGAGCTTTCGTGGGCACAACCCACTTCTTCAGATGAATCATCTGAAGATGTGGGTTGTGCCCACAAAAGCTCATGATGCTATGGGTTATTATCTACCACAGAACAATTACCTCTCATGTCTTAGAATCAACACTCCTGTTCTTACACCTCAAAATGATTATTAGCTTTTTCACAATTGCATTGCATTGTTGTTGGCTCATATTTATTTTGTGATCCATATTCCTGTGGGGGCCTAGCAAAAGCATTATACTCACTGGCAAAGATTAGAGCAGAAACCACACTGGATTAAGTGTAGCACACTTGGATGAGAGTGGGAGTGACTGAAGGCCCTAAGGATGGAACTGGAAATTGTGTATCAAAGAAGAGATACTGAAAACTAGTTTAATAAGAACTCTCCATCACAAGTTTATGCATTATTATGGATTCATTCTCTCTCTATCAGGTCATCATTATTATATATTTACTTCAACACATGTCAGCCTGGGGGCAGTCTGCACTGAATGCAATTTAAAAAAAATCATAATGACCTTTTTCAAAGACAGTAATGAAATCGCAGTACACTTTCTCAGTTTGGGAAGGAAACTTCCACTATGTCACAGAAGACATCTAACCACTAACAGCTATATGCTATCAGCAACTGGACTGTAATTACAAGCATTTTGCATTCAAATGGATCCTAAATCACTTTACAAATTCATCTTCAAATTGAATACCATCTAGGAAGCTGTTCACCAATCACTGATAGTCAGCAACTTCTAGGATAAAGTATAGCAAATGCCAACTCATGCCCAGCATCCCATGGGCCCAGGTGGGATAGGAAGTGGAGAATGCAGCACTAGTTGAATTTTTCAAGAAATAATACATAGCTAAAATGAAAAAGCTTAATGTAGAATTTAATCAGGACACTCAAGTCTTCTCTAGTCAAAAGATTCTGATGATTTTAAGCATACTGTTTCCCAAACAGTGGGTATTGACCTATCAATGAGTCACAGAAAGTTTCTAAATTGGTTGCCGTGACTAGGTCTGGATTAACCAGTTGATTACTGACCCAGGCTTAGGTAAACACATATCTTTCCCAGACCAGCATAAGAAGAGGCTCCAATTATTGGGGAAGGGGACCAGGCCTGTCTGGAGCAGTGTCTCCTATCCAGTGGATCTGAACTTGGCTCCCCATTCTGGGCACAGTGATCATGGAGTCACAGTGCCACTCAGGTTTGGTCTATGCACCCCTATAACCCTGTGCACTGGGTCGCAAGACCACTCACTCAGATTTGATTTGTGGATGCCCTTCAGTGATGGAAGGATGGTAGAGCCAAACCTGAGTGGAGAGCTGGCCAGACCTGGAGTGGGGAACTGGCTCACCCACATGGGATAGGAGCTGCCCTGTGGGATGAGATTAGGGTGGGATTGCTTTCCATTCTCTCACCCCTGGAGTCTCCCTTCTGCACCCAGCTGGGATTAGAGTGGCAGTGCTGGTGTAGAGAGTGCATATATGTAACTATGGAATGGTGACTCGCTAACAAAAGACAAAATGCATTGGTGGGTCACTTTAGCATTTGGGAAATGCTGTGGAAGGCCATCTTAACTAGCACACTCAAACTTGTTGTAAAGCTATAGTGCACAGAAGGCACAAACAAACACTGGCTAGCTGGTTGAGTCAATCTAAAATACACCTTTCCCTCTCTAAATTAGGTTTTAGACTGTTAAAACTTGCCAACATATTTTTAAAAATCACACCTGCCATTTAATCAAAGAGAAGACAAACACTCAAACTAACAGTCTGCGACAGAATTTGCAAACCCGCATAAGAGCTCTACTGACATCTCTGTTCACTTTGCAATCCCGCATCATGGGTTTATGAACTGCTCTAATGAATAATCCATGGAGTTATTAAAAATATGTCAAAAATATATGCAGCTATCCGTGGCATCAGATACTGGTTTACAAATTGTTTTCATGCTGCACAGTGAATTCTAACACATGTTCCACATAAACACCAATAATCTGTTTTATGCAGAATTCACAATACCTAGTTTCTTTGTACATTCGCTGATTGCGGTTGGTGAACTGATGTTAGAATTGATGCTGGAGATGTTAGCAAATGTTTATTTTTGTAAACGTGTAACCACTGAATTTTTCAGCAGTTACACCTTTGCACACAGGCAGGAGCTGGCCTAGAAACCAGCTCCCTCTATGCACCAGCTCTTGTCTGCCCTCCCTTGCTGCTGTTTCTATGGGAGGCAGTGGGAAAGTGGGTGGCGGGGTGCATGTAGTCATTAGGATTATTCAATAAATCCAGGCTTATCGGTTAATCGTATAAATGACTACACACTAACATCTCTAGTGGGTACCATATGTACCCAGAAGGGATATTGGCGCAAAGCTATCATTTAGATCAGTCAGACTCACTGCTGGGTCTGAGGAGGTAGCACCCAGCAGAGTAAGATTATTTCCCACCTCCTCTTGTCCTCTCTTACCACTGAATTAACCATGTTTTTATTTTAACTTCTTGGAATAACCCACGGGTCAGATTCTGATCTCAGTATACCAGTGTAACTTCACTGATGTCCTCAAAGTTATTCCAGATGTATGCCAGGGTAACAGTATGGCTTAAAGATTCTACTAACATAACTACGTAAATGTAATATTAAACTACAAATGGAAACAAAGCTAACACTCTAATTAGCTTATTTCATTCTGCCGGGTAGATCACTAAGAAAGCTTGGTTATCACAAAAATACAAAATTATTTTCTGATTTAATCGCTTCTCTTAAAGAGATTGGTGATTAGTTTCCTCCTTTAAAAATGTTTGTGATATGACAGGCAAAACAGGAATATTTTGGAGTGAGGAAGAGGTTGGAGGACTCAAACCCATTAAACGACACAACTGAAAAAATATTTAGTCAGGTACAAATTTTGTCATCTTGATGCTCTTGTTATGGCTGAATCTCCTTTAATCCAGTGAATAAACTAATGCAAACAATTCCTTGCTGTGTAAAAAAGGCCTACCTGAAGACTGCAAGGCTCAAGGACCAGAGCACTAGCGGTTTCCTCAGTTCAAATTTTGCTCGTTTGTTCATTAGGTGCCGACCACCAAATATAAAGGCAGCATACAGAGCTGAAAACAGAAAAGATTTCTTCCTGTAAAAAAAGCGAAGAAAAAAATCCCCATAAAATATTTATTATTCATCAGTTTCACACAGTGTTTTCTCAACTTCAGATGATTGCCAAGAACTTGTCACTTTCCTTGCTTAAAAATAAAAAAAAAATCCCATTTGAACACACTTCTGCTATTAATTTGAATAATGGAACAGCCAAATATACATGAATATAAATCTCGAGCCTGAAGTTCCTACTCAGGGCAAAATTCTGATTGACTCAATTGGAACTTTCCTGAATAAATACTGAAAGCTTTGGCTGGTATTGCAGATATTTTCTCCCCCTTCTCAGGAATATTTTCCATTTGTGAAGAAAAACAGATGGCATGTGGCCAATTTGGTCCTCTGCCCATGCATGCTGTTCTAAAATCAATGTTCAGTTTGTATTTGAACCAACTGATCGAGTTTAATAGGTCATTCAATATGTTCAATTGATATATCCCTGCCTGTATGTTTCTTATTTAACATGCACTTGTCATTTATTGCTTCCCAATAAGAATTCTTAAATGCTGCAGAATAAAATCTGACGAGGCTCCTAAAAAGTGGGAATATTTGGCTAGAGGCCAGTAGTTCTATCATTCAGTGGTCATATTGTTTTGATTTTTATAGTTCATGAGTAGCAATTTGAGTGAATTCCAAGATTATTCTCTCTGGTCTGAGTTTGCTGAAATGGACATATATTACTTAAGTGAGCTGAACTACAAAGGGGGTATCAGATTTGTAAGCGTCACTTGAAAATGCCTGTAATGGTACATCAGGATAGATATTTCCATCAGCCAGCATTTGAACCTCATTCTTATAATTCAGTGAAGCTCAAATGTAGCGGGTGAAAAAAGGGTGAAATTTGGGACCCTTTTCTGCGCTTCTAAGAGAGTCGGATGGCTTGCAATAAGTGTCTATATGCCAAATCAATAATGATGCACAACATTACTAATGTCCTAAGTATGTAGATATATATTTAGGAGCAGTTTTTTGGACGACGTGTATAATTGCAAACAAAGGGAAAATGAGTAATCATAAATATCAATAGACTATATAAGTGCAGCTGCAGCAAATTGCTCTTTGCTGTCATAGTACAAAGTCAGCCAGTTTCAGCTAAGCCTTAATGAGTGATAAACAAAACATATACATATCATATAACGATGAAAGCTAAATAGCAACATGAGCCCAAAGACATTAAAACAAATCCAATATGTTTAGGCTTGGACAACATAGGACTTTCGAGTATCCTAAACAAAGTGAGTTACTCTTGATATAGTTCTGGCAATACATAAAAAATCATGAACTGGAATGAAAAAGCAATTAATGGTGTTGCATGAAGAATCGTTCTGACGTACAGTCAGATTTGCTGCACCTCAAGTTATCCTTCCCAGCTGAAAATATCCTTATCTGGTCTGGCAGTGGAGGAACGTATGTTAACTTCACTGTCCCCAGGGATAAGAACACTTGTACATAGACTTAGGATCTCCATGATTCCAAGCCAAGCAGGGGACTCTCCTCTCATGGAGAACACATCGAGACTGTGAGTCACTGGGCTGGCAATTACAGCAGCATATTTATCATCAGCACTATGCTTTTTCCCAATCAGACTTGGATGGTACCATCTTGTGCTTTCCTGACATGAGGCACGGATGGCCTTCTAAAATGAGGCACTGATAAACATGAGTTGGCTGAATTTCACTCCAGGCTAGATGGCAGACACACAGATCGGCATGGAAAAGCTTCTAAACAAATTGGGTGAGGTGGCGTGTGCTCTCTTTGCACATGGGATACTCACCCTTCATTACTCAGGGGTTGTTTGGGCCCTAATTTGCTCTGAAATGGAATCATGCTGTTTTACATCTATGCTTCTCTATGGATCTTTTCTTGGCTATGGTCTTTACCATCTAATAATCTATACCTTTGTCATCTCTATACTAGACTAGAGTAATACACTCTATGGAAACTTGCTCTGGTGCAAAACTCAGTAACTGATTTAATTAGCAATGAAAGCTGCATTGAGCACATTGTACCTGTTCTCTGTATATCCTACTGGCTTTGTAATTGCTTCTAATCAGGATTTTCAACTCCACCACGGGGGAATCAGACACCTCAGCTGGGCATCCAAATCTCCTAGACAGTTTTGAAAATCTGAATTGCTAAATGTGTAGTTTTGTGTTTTAGTGCTAATCTATAAAACCATGCATGCTGAGCATCCTGACTGCTTTACTCTGTCTCTGTCCCTGATGTATGCATCCTCCTAAGAACTGAGATCAGCCATGGTGTTTTTAATAACAGTGTTTGAATTCCAAGGGGGCTTGAAGGCAAGTCATTTGCTCTGGAGTGTCCATGACTCTGGAATTGACCCCATTCTGCTTTCCCGGTGTTCAAGTTTGTTGAACTTAAGAGCAATGTGTTAGAGCCTCTTTGTTTGCTCAGACTTTTTTCCTGAGATCAACTCAATATAGAAAGTGTTTGAGTTAAAGGATGTTTCTGGAAAGGTGTAGGAAGAGTTGCTTTCACTTTTTATGGTGCATTATGGAAAAAAGATCTGAGGGACTGTCTTTTGATTTTTCTTAGTTGCTGGCAGCATGTTATTAAAGGTCTTATTAATGATGATACATTAATGTAAATACAGCCAGAGGCTTAGACAATGGACTACTGAAATAAATAAATAAAAATATATTGGAAGTGCTGAAGAATGTGACAGCTAACAGTGTCTATTTGTTCTTCTCTAGCTGCTGTTCCTGTATCTAATGAAGAATCACCACAGTGGAAGGAAATTAAATGAATCCCTATGGAATATCTAATATGTCATGCTAGTCACAGGTGAATTTTTTTATTCCGGTATCTAAAGATACAGGTAGGTGTGGAGGCACTTTTGAAAATCCCACTAGGAGCTTCACTGCATCTTTAGGTAAATAAATAAATAGATTTGGAAGTCTGAGGCCATGTTCCTTTCTGTATAAAGAAGATATAATGCAATCTCAATTCTTGTTCATAACATTCACAGTCAGGAAAGAAACATAAATATCCCTCTTCATAGGCAAGATAACACTTATGTATCTAAATGGCTTTCACTCGGGTTCTTATTAATGAAATTATTGCTTTGTGTTAAGTCTAACTAAGTAGGTCAGTACAGTAATTATATACCGCTAATTGGTATTGTTACATTTTAGGTCACTTCCCCAGCTTTTAATGAGTTCCGTATTTCCTATTTAAATGTTACAGTATCTGTATAAGACTTCCCACTGGCACTGACAAATGCTAGGCAGTTTGACTGTATTGGTGATATGTATTGTACAGAACACAGTTTTAAATTAATAGGGGCGAAATATTACAGCCTTGAGGTCATGACAGGCACTGTGTATAAAGCTTTCTGATAATGAAAGCAATCCTCTCTTTCTGAGATAGCCATTCACTTTTTCTATCGGTATTTCTTTCTTTTTTTAATTTTTCCCTTATAGAGTAACTATGTTAAGGGAGACACTTTTATTAAAGGACTGATGGCAGTATAGGTGATTGGCTATTGAGCTACAGTCTTTCACATTATTGTTTTGGATCTGGCCAAGATCAGTAATGACCAGAAATTATTTTGTAATGTTTGAATAATGGTTTGTGTGAAATGTTGGTAGTCTCAGTCCAGTTCCTAAGGAACATATATAAAGAAATGGCACTCAAACGGTATTCAGTTTTTACTGAAATTTTTCTGGCCAGCAAGACACTGGTAGCATAGAGATATTTCTATAGATAGAGTTTACAAGCAGTTCTAGGACACCGTAAAACCATTGTAATATAAAAGTGTAATCCCTGATGACAGTCTAAAGACAACAGAACAATGAAGCAACATTAAGACTTAAAGCTCAAAACCCAAAAAATAAGCCAATAGCAAAGTCTCATGTCTAATGGTATCAGTGTTAGCACATTCATATGTTTGCCTTCAGTTCTGTTCCCTGGGGAATAACACAGTAGACATAAAGAAACACACGGCTGCCAAATCCCCCACATTTTACAGGAGTTCCTGCTTCTCACAGTTGTCTTCCACCTTCCTACATTTCCAGTCTTCAGGGACTTAAGGACTATCTGTACTGAGTGCTCTGTGCTCTGTGTTAAGATTCTGAAAATTGCCTGCTTTCTCTCTCACACACAAGCAAAGACTAGAAGAATCTTCCTAAAGATAGTACAGAGCACTACACGCATTGCTAGAGGTAGGAAGATAATATGTGGACTTGCAGGCTGAAAATGTGGGGGATATTTTCTGGAAATCAACAGCAAAGGAAGGGAAACCTCTGCATGGCAGAAAGGAAATCAAAAAGGAAATGGTTGTAGGAGAGGATAAACCAAAAAATGGGCGAGAAGTGGAACTCAAATAGAAGAGAAAAGAGAGGATAACGACTGTGGAGAGAAAAGGAAGTTGACAGAAAAGAGGATAATGTGAAGGTGAGAAAACAGAGGAAGGAGAAATGAAGTGTAATAACAAGGAAAAGTACACTGAAGCTATGTCTACACTACAGCCTTCTTGTGCAAAAAGCTTTTTGTGGAAGAGATCTTCCGCAAAAACGTCTTGCGCAAGAGCGCGTCCACACTGCAAAGTGCATTGAAAGAGCGATGCGCTTTTGCGAAAGAGAGCATCCAGATTGCATGGACGCTCTCTCAAAAGGAACTCTGATTGCTATTTACAGAATGGCCACCAGGGCACCTGGACATTTTCGATTGCCTCTTTTTGCTCAAAACCCCCCTGTTTACTGCCCACACACACTGTTTTCTGCAAGAACTCTTGTGCAAAAAGAGTTATTTCTCATAGAAGGAGGAAAACAGAAAAACCCCTCTGTTCTTTTGTTTTGCTTGTGCTTGAGGTGTGGACGCTCCATGTGTTTTTGCACAAAAACAACTGTTTTTGTGCAAAAACTCTGCAGTGTAGTCCTAGCCTGAGGGAACAGGGGATAAAAAATAGAAAAAGGATTACAACAGAGAAAGGAGAGGCAGAGACTGAAGGAAACAAAG